TATATATATATATATATATATATATATATATATATATATATATTTTTTTTTTTTTATAACAATCAACAATCATGATAATGACAATATGGAATCCAGTTAAAATGGGCACTACCGACTGCAGAATACTAATTCATTGTCAAAACGCTGCTTTTTCGATTTACTAAGTCTCCAATTGGTATCTTTATAATTATTATCAATATACAATGTATGTATTACTCTCCGTGCTTTAGCTGTACTCCGTAGCAGTACTCCTAAGTCCGAATGAACATTTCCCTCCGCAATCTCTTTGCTGTTACCGATTCAATTATATAATTGCTTTAATTCAGCTGAGCTCGACGCTTATAATAATAATATTAATGTGACTAATATATAATAATTAAAAATAATCAATATGAAGATAAGTAATTAATTATAACTATCATACGTTTTCAGTTGATATGGTTTTTTTTTTTTGGTATTCTCGATTAGACTTGAATATATATTTGTCCTCTTATAGCTCCAGCTGTGATTGTTCAGTCAGACAACAGCAAGTCGAACAGTTAATCATATATTACTTCAGTTAAGGTAATACCAAGAAATTATAAAAAGTTTATTTGGATCTTCCCAAGGTCTTATCAGTCGTTAATAATGATTAAGATAAGATAAGAGCTTTATTGCTTAGCCACTAGAGATTTTCAATCAACGTATTAGCTTTTAACTGCATATGAATTACGATTAAGCTCTTTGTGTTTATTTACTCAATGATTTGAAAGGGGTAAATGGGGGCTTGCCGGGTAGTAACAAAGTTCAATACAAACCATAAATTGCCCACCGACGTTACTGGAAATTTTCAGCAATTAGGTAAACAATTAATTAAAATAATTTACAGCATATCGGGCGAGTCTTGTAACACCCTAGATATTGTCAGTCGTGTAATATATTATCAGACTCCATTATCGGAAAAAAAATCATAATTCTGATAGGCGAATAATATAAAAGGTGAGAGAAACCGACAGGTGTTTAGTAAACACTCGTGCTTTAAACTAATTACAGTTTCAAATGTACTTCGAACGTTTACAGCAGCAGCAATACGGTATACATGTGAATTGTGAAGGAGATGAAAGCTTTTGGAGATTTCAAGGATTTGAATTTATTATATAGTGTTCCTTGTGGGCATTCTATTATGGCACTCAATCGCATCGCTAGCCAGAAACTGTTGCACAGTGGGCGAAACCCAGGAGGATCCCAACGATGGCCAGAGCTATTATGTCTGCTGCGGTGGAACTTTAGTTCATAAGACCTGTAAAAGCGGTAGCTATTGGAATGCCACGATGCAATCTTGTAAATCAGATGCGGCTGAATGTAGGGAGAACGATATTCAACTCGATCCGCAAGACTGTGCGGCCTATTTTCTGTGTGTGATGGGACAATTCGTGAGTCAGAAATGTGCCCATGGCACTTACTTTGATACAACAATCAAGGCGTGTGTAGGGGATACCAAACATAATTGTAAAACGACATCGAAATGAGTATCTAATTGAAATTGCAAGAGAAACTCATGTTTGTCTTACAGCTATATAATAAAAGTTACATGTAAACAAAGAAAAATGCTTGATTCATGGGAAGAATCGTTAAGGAATTTCATTAGAATTTACATAATTTCCAATACTCCTAAATAAAAAAAAAAAAACAATTGGACAAATCGAATGCTTTTAAAATATTGAGAGATCAGTTTTCTTCCTTAATGAATTTCAGCCCTCCTTTATAAGCTATCTTTATTTATACATTATTAAAAAAATGGTTTAATCGGAATAGGAAACTTCCTTGTTTTTCGCCCTAGAGTATGCTATACTCTGGACTATTGCATATTGAGTGGCATCTGAAATTGTTAGTGATGCTTATTTTCTGACTTCTGGGTCAATGAGATATGTATATCGTTATCTTGACTCATCAATTTCTACTTTCTTTAAACATTTTTATTTTGATAAGCAATCTTTGCTGTGTTCGAATGTATGCTCGATATGATCAGTAGCACTGGTTTCCCTTTTATCTGTCGGTAGCTGCATCCGTTTTTGAGCAGAAGCATTTAATTATTTTAATTGCGGAAAAATATAAAAGCTGAGACCTGGACCACAAAAAGTCAGTCGACGAGTTCTCTACCTAGGTAATAGTCGTTCAATTAGCAAAGTGCGAAAATGGCTAACCGCAGAAACTTGAATTTTGGTAAGATAACAATATTCATTCTCTCCTGTAATATCAAGTATTATGGCCGATTCAACTATCCACTTGCAGTGTATCTCCTCTTCATTACCATGACCTTAGTCTTGGGAGTGGTGGCCGATGATGATTGCTGTGAAGTCGGTGACACCAAGCCCGACGAAAACGATTGCACCCAATACTACGGCTGTTGTACGGGAAAGTTCGTTCTTAAGTCCTGCCCAAGCGGTCAATACTGGAATAGGAATACCAAACAATGTGAAGACGACAATGGCCAATGCGTTACTGTAGCTCCCTGCACATGTACAGATGGAGATCTCAAGGCAGATGATTCAGACTGTACCAAATATCTGGTCTGCAAAAAAGGACAATACGTCTCCGCTTCCTGCAACTCTGGTGACTACTGGAACTCAGCTAGCAAACAGTGCGAGAAGGATAATGGTCAGTGCGTAACTCAGTCCCCATGCACAAATGGAGATACCCAGGCAGATGCTTCCGACTGTACCAAATATCTGGTCTGCAAGAACGGACAATACGTCTCCGC